TTGCGGGGGGGGGGGGGCGGGGAAGCCGTCTGGAAAAAAAAAAAAAAAAAAAAACACATGAACGCTGTATGCGCTGGATTTTTACCTTAGAATGGCCAACTCTGTTATTCCTCTGTCAATTCGATACAGCAGGAGTTTCCACACTTCCCATATATGTGTCCTCTGTCACTTTTGGCAGCATTTAAAACTGTTTAATCCGTTGCCAACATGTGGTAACCTGTTTTACCGAGCCGCCCTTAAACGCAACATGAGCGCTTCGACGCTCGCGCTGGGTTTACACCTGTGCGGCAGTGAAGGAGACCTGCTGCTGCTGGGCGGAGCTACTCAGGTGTGTTAGAGTCATGGCAGCAAACCAGCAAAACGCAAACAACTTTTCACAGTTTTCCCCCAAAACTAACCGACTGAGTTGAGTAAAGCTGCTGGATACAGGTAAAGTGACTAGCTAATATCAATACAGCACCTCAAGCTTGTTAACAAGTAGCTTGTAGGCTATTGGTGTTGTTGTCTATGTTCAGCTACGATTCACTTATTTTGCCCCCCAAAAAAGCCGATTCCCCTTCGCCCCCAAGACACGTCGTTCAACCAGACAGCTATTTGTAATCCATAGGGGGATCCCAGAAAATGTTAGGAAAGGGTCCCAGGAAAAAAAAAAAAAAAGTTTGGGAACCACTGTTTTAATTTAACCATAACTTTGACCTAAATTAGTTAAAGAATGAAAACAGACTTCAATATTTGATAGAAATTATTTAGTGTACCATATTAACAATATAGTTTCTACATGTCAAATGTATACTTAGAACAACCTAATTAGGTTGTGAAACTGAGTTAAACAAATTAAAGGAAATGTATTTGCACTTGTCTAGCTGGAAGCCTGATTGATCTTTCGTTAAATCTACAGATCTTAAAAAATAAAATAAAATAAATAAAATTAAAAAAAATCTGACAACATAAAGGAGCAAAAGCGTGACCTCAGAAAACAGCCACAACCTTTCCTAAAAACATTTACAGATTCACAAGGATCTCTATTGATAGAAAGTAAATACGGTGAGCCTCAAGCTAAATTTTCCGGCTGTTAAAAATAAATCCAGTATTGGCAGCGAAGCTGCAAAGTTGCTTCTCCTGCAGTTCAAACGCTACCTTCTCCCTTCACCGTCCAAACGTCCTGCTCAAGCCCCTGCCAGCGCCTGAGTGCTGGGCGGGACGGCCTTCGTGCACAGAGCAGTAGGTCATGCAGTGGGGCTCCAGCCAGGCCAGCGAATGAACAGTCATCTGAGGGCTCAGCCGCCTGGAGCAACGCTCTGTCATCACGTTCGCACAGAGCTTACTGCAAACCATATGCCTCCGCAGCACTGCGGCACGTAGTAACACAGCAGCAGTTTATGTGTTGGCATTCCTGATATGCAGTCGTAAGTAGCTGCTGAATTTACTCATTTTAAAGGCACGTCTGTTACCTCCGAGTCTGGACTTGAGTTTATTTCATTAACTGGATGTCAACTGTTTAACATCAACTTATTTAATTGCTTGTTCTGAGCTGTAGGCGAACTTTGTTTTTGCTCGACTGATGCTGCAGCATCCTCAGAGTATGCAAGATTTTTTTTTTTTTTTTGTGAGGCTTGTAAGATACAAATTAGTACCTCTGAAAATCTGTCAATGAAGGTGTACTCTTTAGTTTTGGAAATATTTTTCACTTTACTTAATTTGTAAAATGAAAAATATTTTACAACTTGATAAATTATTTTACAGTTGATGCTTACACAGTTATCTTCAAACTTATGCAATGTTTAGAATGGATTTTAAAAGCTTAGTATAAAATATAATGGAAAGATTATTTTTTCTTAAGTAATTAAATTTAAGATGTGAAACTCCTGGTTCAGATTCATTGATAATTTTTAACATATAAGTGTTAGGTTACAACCTGTAATAGGGAAGACTTTATCAAAGACAAAAAACGTCTGTTAAAGAAGCTGGATGTCACAAAGTGCTGTAACCACGGATACAAATGGAAAGTTATGTGGAAGAAAATGTGGCTGAAAAAGACTGACAAATAGTGATAATTGCAGCCTTAAGTAGATTTTGAAGCAAAGTACATTCACGAATTTGTGAAATTCCCCAGCAGTAGTAAATGCTTCAATTGGTCACCACACAGAGACGTTTCCAGCACACGACCTGAAACTGTCGCACTTCTTGTGCTGAGCCACTGTTGACCCTGACATGATGCCAGAAGCCTTGGAGCCCTTTCATCTGCTGGTGTTGGTCCACTTGTGTTTTTATCAAGTCCAAAGCCAGCACTGGCATCCAGCAGGACACTTTAATGCACTCTGTACTATACTCTGCTGACAGATTTTATGGAGATGCTGATTTCATTTTCCAGCAGGACTTGGCAACCTCTGCGCAGAGCCAAAAGTACCCAGACCTGGTTTCATGAACATTTTATCACTGTGCTGAACGGCCCAAAAAACTCACCAAACCGAAACACCATGGAGAACCTATGAAGTGAACGGAAAAAAGCAGTGGAAATACGTCACTGTGTGTCTCATTCATATTTGCATTATTTTCACTTTTTTTGAACAACATAACTGAAGTTATTACTTTTTTTTTTTTTGCAATTCCTCTCGAAAAAAAATTCCCGCTTCCAGCAAAGTCTGGGCTTTCTCCCCTTCACTTGGATTTTCTCTGGTAGATTTGTTTGCCAGGGGATATTGTTGATTTTGTTTGCTACGCTCTTGGAGCCATGAATCTAGAAATCATGACTAGTGCAGTCGTAAGTGTGTGTGTGTGTGTTCGTTCTCTTAAATGATGTTTGTTGACCTAAAGACCATAATACTTGGTAGAAATTGGATTATGTGTGGGGAACCTAAATTTCCACATGCCTGGACGAGTTTGCTTCCCTGTGAGTGTGTTTGGATCAGGAAGTGTTCTGCTGGGTTTGTCAAATCATGTGGAGTACTCAGTCCAGCATGTAGCTCCTGCTTTGGCTGAGATGTCATAAAGGCACAAAGCATTTTATTGGAGATTTCTGAGACTCTTAGGAATGATGCAGTTGCAGATCAGAGGTTTTCATTTGATGTCCTGTGTTTTTTATTTTTTTATTTTTTTTTTGTCCCAGCAGGCTGTCAGGCCCCCTCCTGTCTCCTGGCATGAAGGCAACAGGAACTCCTCCTCCTCTTTCACAGGAGAAACAACATGCTCACTCTCACCACAAGCCCTACCCACATTACCACCATCAACAACATGCCACTGACGGTAAAGCTAACCCAAAGGTTATGAATTTGTTACAGAAATTCTGTTGTCTTTTAATGCTATCCGTGCTATAGCAGGGTTGGCTGGCAAGGTAACTAAAATTGTGAACACGGCAATGATTTTCAAATGCAAATCATATCAGTAGATCCACATCAAAGGCCCTTATTGAGAGGAAGTTGTCTCTGTCAGAGCGCTGTTAAGGTAAAAAAAAAGAAGAAAAGATTAGAGCTGGGAGAACCACATGCCGGAAGCCTATTACCATCGCTGGATTGGCCAACAAACTGCTGGCTCATGCATTCAGCCATCTCAGCTGTCACTCTGGAGCCTTTTCCCCCAAAATGTCCTAAACACTGTTTTTCCTGTAAAGATCTCCACACGGCTGCCTCTGTAACCACACTGCGGTCGGGGAGTTGCGTAAAAGTGCTCCAGGAACGGCTTCTCTCCCATTATCAAGACTCCTGCGGTTGATTCCGAGTACGAGCCGAGGCTGCGGGGACAAACGCAGCACAGTATAAGGCTGGCAGAGTTAGCAAAGCACAAATATAGCATTGTCATAATGTGAGATCCACATGAGGTTTGAGCCGGATGGGGCAGACATTAGAACCAATCAGAGGCACAGTGGATGCTGGTGGCAGCTGATCCAGTGTGGCTTCTATAATTTTCTCTCCTTTCCTCCACATCCCGCCTTCATTTCTTAGAATACCAAGCCAGCTTTCAGAGCTGCTTCCATTTTGGAGACTCCTACAGGATGGAGCAGACGGTCGGCGGCGTCCACGTCCCAGGAGATGCTCACAACTACTCCTCCCATCAGCACAATGGCTTTCACATGCCCACCAGCAACACTGGACCTACAGGTAAAAAAAATATATATATTTTTTCGACTAATCTTCGTACCAGAAGTGAAAATGTGCTCTTAAAAGTGTTATAATATAAACATCTGCACCAGGATTCGGCGGGACCCAGGAGCTGCAGGGGGGCTCGGGATGCCAGTATTCCTCCAGCACCGACGACAGCATTTTCTTTCAGGTGGGCAGCTTCGACCGCAACTTGAGCCACGTGTCGTCGGTCTACACAGAAACATAGATCCGAACTTTGTTTTTTTTGTTGCGCCACGCTGCACAACCGCCCACCAATGCGCATCTTCATCTTCAGCCCCTGTTTCTTTTCCCAAAAGTGAAATCAAAACCTCTTCTAAGGTCATTCTGACGTATCCACCAGATAGTAACCAACTGAACTAAACAAACGCCATAGCCTGTAAAAATGGTACCTGATGCACTGCCTGATTTAAAGGTATAAAAACACAAATCGCAATTAGGCATAGACGCCTACAAAAGCTTTACATACCCCTTCAACTTTTCCGCATTTTGTCAAATTTGTCAGAGACCGACACAAAGTAGTGCATGACTGTGAAAAGGAAGTTTGTCTTCATCTCCCTTTATTCTCACACACCTAACAAAGAGATTTCTCCCATATCCCAGAAGGTCCAGATCTAAACATGAAGAAGACTTTGATACCAAATTTAACTTTTCTGCTACAGACATTACTCTGTTGTAGCAGAAAACTAACACCGTAGCGTGCACGTCTCCAAATACATCATCCTTACCGTGAAACATGGTTGTGGCAGCTTCATGGTGTGCTCATAACCTTCCTCATCTTAACCAGGAATATTTGTCAGAGTTGTTGGGAAGATGGTGGGACCTAAATAGAGCACAAGAAAAACTGTTAAAGTTTGCAAAAGACTCGAAACTGGAGCAAAGGCTCATCATCCAGCAGCACAGCGACCCTGAACAGACAGTCAGAGCTGCCAGGGAATGGTTTAGGTTTAGATCAAACCATATTTGTGTCTTACAATGGCCTAGTCAACATCCAGATCTATATCCAACTGAGAACCTGCTGCAACAATTGCTACTGTTCACAGACACTCGAATCGGACTGAACTTGGATTATTGCACAAGAAATACTGGACAAAGGTTTTCTTATCGATATGTGAAAACGGTGACAAACATACCAACAAAAGACTTGCAGTGGTCACCGTATCAAAAGGTGATTCTACAAATTATTGATTCAGATGGGCAGGTTAGAAATGCAGTTTGTAGTTGTACAAAAATATAGATTTTTCCTCCTCTTCCCAATTATGCACTACTCTCTGCTGGTCTGTCACATAGAGGTTGGTTTTCTTTCGTAACTTACTTAACCCTTTAACCGTCACGTCCAAGTCATGTAATCCACTGGGTCCCTGAGGACGCCGGTGTCCTCATGACAGCGAAGTGGAAAAGTTCATGGGGTATTGATACTTTTGCAGGCACTGGTTCGGTTATTCATCTCCACATAAATTATTAAAGAAAATTAGGTTAATTTGTGAAATAAATCTTGCTGTAGAAACTGTTTTAAAGGGCAGCTCAAGTCGAGTTTATTTGTGTAGCACATTTCAGCAACAAGGAATCATTCTTTGAATGATTTACATGATAAACACAAGTGGTTATATTGGGAGTAGAAAATGATGAACAAACATCACAACTAAAAAATTGTAATTTGAAAAGCTAGTTTAAGTGAAATATTGGTCTTTTTTTTTTCCAATTTGAGGCTGCTTTAGATCTGAGGTTTGATTTCAGCCAATTTATTGTTACCAGGCAGAAAACTTGACAATGTCTAGCAAAATAAAATCCACATATTTCTCCTTTCGCCCCCCACCCCATCTCAAATTCAGCTGCATCAGCAAAATCGAAGTGAACAGATATGGTGAATAGATCTCACAACTCGAGGCAGAAATTTGAAATGCACAATGTTTACATGGACAGTTTTGTTCTGGAAATGTATTTGAGCAAAGTTCTCATCCGTTACTGAAACTAATTACAACAGAACCAGACTGTCTTCAGTTCAAAGTATGAATTTCCAAATAACATGAGATGTGTTGTTCACCATTTGAACCACATTTTTTTTTTCTCTTTAATCTACAGCTTCTGTTTGTGGACTGAAGTGTAAAATATATCAATTTGCTGTGATGTTTTTATCAGTGACAAAAAAAAGTTCCATTTCTGTAAGTGTTAAATGTTTTCTTCCTGTGTTTGAATTTTATTTTATTTGTTTGTTTTTTTTTTTGTGGAGGGAGGTTTCTGGCTCATTAGTCCTGTAATACTGCAGAGACAGCCAGGCCTCCAATTATAATGATTATCATTATTAATAATAATATTATGTGTATAAAATGTACAGTTTGTTTACAACAACCATTTGAGTGTCATTTAAGAAAATAAAATCACACAGAGGAGATTGAAACAGTTCATATCGTTTATAAGTATGTTCAGAAAAAAAAACAAAAAAAACCCCTCAAGACTTGTGAGCTGGTTGTGCCCTCTAGTGGACAGGATAATACTGCAGCTGCCGTCTGGCTACTCTGGGTAATGACGTCAGCTCCTTGACGTTGCCTCACTTGTGCTTCCTCTTATGGAGGTATTGCTGGTAGTAGAAGTTAGAAAAGAGCACTATGAGGGTAAGAACATAACCAAACACCGCTAAGTTCATAGAGTCTGGGAAGTCGCACTCGGTGATCAGGTTGTAGCCGGTGTGAAGGAAGAAGAGCAGGAACTGCAGCTGCAATGGCAAATGGGGATTCAGATCAGATTAAATGACACGTTTTGCGATTGTACCTCTTGACAGAAGCAACAGCCAGAAAGTTCTGGAGCAACCAACCAGCTGCAGTATAGTGAGGTATTTCTTCCACCAAAGGTGCTTCTGCATGTGAGGACCGAACGCAGACAGGCCGTAATAAGTGTACATGATGATGTGGACGAAGGTGTTGACAAGGCCGATGAAGAAAGCTGTGGAGTGTGCGGCAGAAACACAAACAAAAACCCCAACAAGTGAAGAAAATTAAGCAAAATGTGTAGGCGAGATTGAAAAACCCTCAGTCTGTTAAGGGTCGGCTTCACAGTTATTTCCAACTTTGTGTTGGTCAGTCATGTGAATCCTATTGAAATGCATTTGTTCAAGATGAATTCAAACCTCACTCACATTGTCCTCCAGCCACATACTTTACTCCTGCCCACCAGTTGAAGATCATGGTGCCATGATGGTAAACATGAAGGAAGGTCAGCTGACTATTCTTCTTCCTCAAGACGAAGAAGAACTGCTCCACAGGAACACAGGATGTAATATCAGTCACAGCTGCATTCAAACTCATTAAAACAAATGGGATAAGGCAAAGTGGGAAGAAACAAAGTACCGTGTCAAGGAGCTCTATGATCTTAGAAAAGAAAAACCACCAACAAACACTGGCCATCTGCAGAAAAAATAAATAGATAAAAAATATTGATTCAGCGACAGCTACTCTGTCTTTCTAATGCTCTGCTGAACTAAAATATGAACTCTTACCCTTAAGGGCAGCGGTGTCTCACTGTAGTCCACAGGCTGACAGAGCAGGCTGTAGTTTGAGAGCCATGATGTGACCAGGAACTGAAAACAGCCAAGAAATTGAGATGGGAGATGAAGTGATTTTTTTTTTTTATAAAAAGCCGTTTACTGATAAATTTTCTGTCCTGTTTTAGTTTGTCTAAAAATAAGTGTCTGTGCATCCCTGACCACTGAAATTCACTCAAGTGTTTTTATTTTTATTTTTTTATTTTTATTTTATTTAACACAGATTCTGCAATTAGTTTCAAGGTACTGGAGCCAGAACAGTTACAAAGAACATTTTTCATCACCCTCTACAAGTAAGACTTATTGGCAAAAAAAAAAAAAAGTAGCGGCTGTTTGCAATCAACAAATCAGTCGAGAACCATTTAAAATAGGTCAACACAATCACCACCAGTGTTTCCTTCATGTTAAACACAAAATGCCACTTTTAATGCTCTGCAGTCTCAACAATATTAGCCCACTACTCCTGGGTGAAGACCTCCAGTTCAGTAAGAATCTTGGATTTATGAAACGTAATTTTTTAAATCCCAACGAAAAGTTCAAGCCAGTCTACGAGGATGGCTCCTCTAAGGACTTCTTCTGAACCCAAGCGTTGGCAGACTGAGATATGTTTGGGACCACTGTCCCCTGTATGAAGGTTTATTGATGCCAAAGCTTCATTAAACCTTCTTGTCCCAGAATTCCATGATGCTTTATTAAATCCATCTTGTCCGCAATGTGCTGCAGGATTCCAGTGTCTCGGGAAGCAAAGCATCCCCAGAAAACCACCGAGCCACCGCCAGTTTTGCTCTTAGTATGTGGTTTATTCATATCTTCCTCCACTGACCCACTGGCCCCGAAAGTCCCAGTTTTTATTCAAATTACTCCAAATAGCAGAATCACTTATAAGTCCTGTTCTGGAAACTGAAACCTCACCGGCTGGGCACATAAATAATCTGTTAACCTCAATGATGAAGCCTCTTTTTTTCCCCAACATCAGCAGCTTCAACGCAAGGAAATTTATACTATCAACACCTAATTATCAGCTAATAGAAAAAATAAACTTTTTTTCAATAAAACTGAGCTGCTCTGTTGCAACAGACAGAGCCTAAAATAGGTGCTGCAAAGCTGCAAAATAGAGAGAAATTACAAAGGCAGAAAAGGCTGGAGATCACAGATCACTTTTCAGATTTACTGTGCAAACTTCATGGAGATTAATATTTTAACACCATCTTTGTTTTCAGTCAAAAGTGATCAGTGAGCTCTAAACCATTCTACCTTTTGTTGTTTCCATTTGAGACGTTAAATGTTACTTTAAGTCCCTACACTTTTAGAATGATTTCTTTTATACACTGACTAATGGCTTTTGGGATCTGGTTTTAACTTCTGCATTATGTTGAATACATTTTTTTTTTTTATTATTTTAACTGAAATCTAAATGGAATATGAAATTCTAGGTAAATTTAAAACAAAAGTTTGACCTCAGAGAGGATTTAAAATCAACCTACACAGAGAATTAGTCTATAAGTAGATGACACTCAAAAAAACATCAACATGCCCAGATCAGGGGATTTGGTGTGAGTTCACCAAAAGATGATTAAAGAAATCTCCTATAAGCCCTAAAATATCATAATGGGATTTACAGCAGACTCTTGCTACCACTGATATTTAAATCCAGGAATGTAGAATAAGAAAGAGACTGGAGAAGTATCAAGGGAAGTCTTTGTTCTCTGAGAAAAGCATCAAGTGAAAGAATATTCAATAGTGTCACTCAACTCTGAGCCAGAGCCGCACAGCATTCTGGGGGATGTAGGCAGAGGAAAAGCTTTGGTGGCTCAGCCAGCTAAAGAAGGTGAGTGGGATCGACTAACTCAACCACTCTTTTGTTACCTAGCAACTGAGTTGATGCAGCAGGACCGGGCCACCTCACCATCACAAAAACCAGCATTATTCCTACCCTGATTCAGAGGCTGACTGAGAAAAATATGAGAACATCTGTGAAGAAATTAAAGCTAGATTGGAAATGAACCTTGTCTCATTTTGCAAAAAACAGATTATTTAATGTGTGTTCTAATTTTCCTAAATCACATGAAACACAGACTACCAAGTAGAGGCAAAACTGAAATGAGATAACTGGAAACGCTTGAACGGAGAGATATTTTCATTACTGCCTTCGTCTTTAATAACTAGATTTGTCATCTAACGGGAGACAAAACAACACACACCTCGTAGAACATGTATGCGGACAAGCCAACCATGGAGAAGTTATAAACGATGAGAACTGTTTTGAGCTCAAAAGGCTTCCGGGTTTTCATCAGATGAGAACCGACCCAGATCATACAGAGGTAACCCAGGAAGATGAAAGTCACCGGCAGGGGGGAGTACACCAGCGGCCAGGGGTCCGTCCTGTTGTCTGGAGGACGTAAAAGGGACATGTCAGAACACGAATGCACACAGATGTATCACAATCCACTTCAACACAGCGAAGGAAGCAGCTTTACAGAAAATGGAGAACTGCTTCTTTATAAGACTATATATTTAAAACTGAAAAGCAATTGTTGCAACAAACAAAAATCAGCACAAATATAGTAATATCTGCTTTGTGATGGACTTTATTTACCCGCCTCTTGCCTGCTGTACATAGCCACCAAAACAAACATCCAAACTTTCGAAAGGTTACTTAAACTTACAACTAAATTATTCTGAAAATTTGTGGACTTTACAAGTCAATGTAAGCAAATCTTTTCAAGTCAAAATGCATGGACACAGACTCCTACCAAAGAACGCTGAATAAAGCAGTTGATTCAGATGATGCTTCGTGAATGTCTTAATCTGAGGATGTGTGCGCACTGCTAAAACTGGGCTTATGGACCTTTTTATGTATTTATTTTTTCATCTAACAAAGCTATTGGTTTTTCAACTGAATTATACAAGTGCAACATTATGTGCCACATATTTCAAAATGACACAGTGGCCTCATGACCAATCTACTACTTTAATAGGGGAGTAGGGACGTTTTCAAGCCACCATACTTCCAACCAATGATATTGGCAACACATTCAAAAAATGCACTGAAAAACAACGACGACGACTTTCGTCGGGCAAGTTAATGGCTTCCTGTTTCTCACACTGCCATGAGGGAAAACTGATAACACAATACAAGTCATGGAGACAAATCATGTAGCAAGCCACAGAGCGTTCCTTGTGCAACTGGTCAATGCGGAGAGCACAGCTGCAGCGCCCCAAGTCCCACTCAGATGTGTCAATTTTACTCATGTCCTCTGCTGCAACACATGCGTACGCAAAAATAACTGGATGGGAAAGTAGGTTGGACGGACAGCAATCATCATACCTCCATTCTCCAAAATCCACTGGTGCACAGAAAGGACATGGTTCCCTGCTGAAGCCATCTACAACATAGGAACACATGTTACTAAGGGTGAGGAATTCACAAAATGTTTTAAATTTAAACGTACACTCACTTTGCAAACCGGGTTCAGTTATCGCCCCTTGATGACAGCGCCCGAGAACCTTTGGACGCTGCTCCAGGTTTTTGTGTAATCACGGAAAGGGGGGGGGAAAAAAAAAAAAAAAAAGCATAAATACAGGGCGTTTAAGAAAATAGCTGAAAATTTTTCAAGTGGGACATATGCCCCGAAACCCTATTTTAAAGTTTTGTGAACGGAAAACTTTGGAGGTGTTCTCCAAAACAGTTTCTTCAACTTTTACTTTGAGAGATATAGGCGATGACACCACTTCCTGTGCGTTTCTTCCTGTCAGTAATTAAATATGCATTTAATTGTATTTTCTGCGCACTGGAGGGCGCCGTTTCCTTCAAACTAATACACTATTTCAATGTCAGAACATCACATAAAGATCAATTTGACAGATATTTATTAACTCCATAAAAAAATACTACTCATATTTAAGTATAAAATCTATTACACATCCTTTTTAAGTGTTTGTTTCTGTTAATTTGGATCATTATGGCTTACAGCTACTGAAAACCAGTTAGAGACCAGTCTCTAAGTGTGACCCACCTCAGCATAAAACTATATGAATTTTGAGTTTTCATTAGCTGTAAAACAATGGTCATCAAAATTAGCAAATATAAGAAACGGCTTAAAATCATTCTGAGTGCAAACAGTCTAATTACAATAATTACAATATTCTTATTTATTATTGTTATATTTACCAGCAATGTCACTAAAGGACTTGTAGTAAAAAAAAAAAATCTCTAGAAAAAAATGACAATTGATGTTTACCAGACAACTTGCATTTTAATCTTCAAAACTTTTATTATAATTAGAGAAATTCTTTTATCTTTTACATAGTTAAAAAACACAAAATGACCTAACATGGTCTGTGTTGGTGTGTAAAAAAAAAAAAAAGAAAAAATGTGTAAAAAAAAAAGCTAAATTGACATACATCAGTTTCTTTAAAAATATGCATTTAACAGATGATATAATAAGAGCTTAAAATCTTGACCTCTGTCTGGTCTCTGATTTAATACAGCAAAGATACAGGAAAGGAGATTCAGCATGAAAAAAACATGCACATTTAAAGTCAACGCGGACAACTTTAGGGACTAACTACTTTCCTCTTTCACTGTCTTGAAGAAGGAACTAAGTGAGAGCTGTCTGCATCCACCATCAGCTGCAGTCGGTCTACTTTTTTTTGTTTTCTGTGACCTGTCATGTTTTAGTCCTTCAGGCTTCTGTCTTTTTCCATCCTAAGGGAGTCAAGCAGAGATGGTGTTCGATGAGTCACAAATATTTGCCTTTAATCCACAAATCTTTAATGGTATTTCACGTTCAAACAAACCATGTCACAGTAAATCCATAAATGTTTGATAGTCTGGACAGACAATATCGTCCTTTAAAATGCTCTTCTATTTTTGTTACATTACAACCAGAAACTTGAATGTATTATTACTTTGGGACTTTGTGTGATAAAATAACAAGCAAACTATTAAATGGGAGAAAAATTATGCATCTTCAATTGGTTTAAGGTCCAGACTTTAGACTACTCTAAAAAATTAATTTAATTAAAACCTTTCTACTGTAGCTCTGGCTGTATGTTACGGCTTTTTCTATTTTCAAAAGATTAATTAAACAGTACTCAAATTTTCATAGCTTGGGACAGTTTAAAGATCCAACCCTACATTAAACTTCTCTGTGACTTTACCTCTGAACTGTCTGCTGTCTTCATGATACCATTTGTCCACTAATGTTCCTGTAACAAACCTAAGAGGCCTTTAAAGTACACACACGATCACTTGTTTGCTAAATGGGTGACTTCTGAAAGTGCACATTTACTTGGTAAGTGCTGCTGTCCTTCTAATGCATATTTTCCAGCACCAGACTGTATAAACTTGAATATTTATTGGATTTAAGCAAATTAGGTGGTGGGTGCTTATGTAATGAGTGAGGGTGAAAAACTAGGCAGTTTCTGTTCCTCTGGCTAAACAAAGTCAAACTGAGGCTGAAAAGTAAATTGCCAACTTTCTGAAGCGCGATCACAAACCCCTTAAATGTTTTGTTGCAAATAGTCAGTGAGGTTGTAAGAAATGCTTTGAAAAACAAACAAAATTTCCACAATTTAATAGTCAAAGATTTAGGAAGAAATCAATGTGAAAATACATTTGAGTAACTTACCTTTGAGTTTTTGTCCTTTAAACTGTCTGCAGTATCAAAGAGCTTCACAATCTGCAAAAAAAAAGGTGTATTACCACCCTCATGTGGTTCACACAGACTATAGACCAAAATCACAATCAAACTATTCTTTTTATAAATAGATCAAATAAGCACAAGCTTCTAATATTCTAATCAAGCCTGCAAAAGTAAAAATGCCTGTTTTCCTTCTGCTTCAGTTATAAGCAGTTGAAACACATTTTCCAATGTTACGCTGAATATTTTAGCGCGGCCATTATCGTTATCGTGATTTTGGAAGAAGCACCTTGCCACATTGTGATTGAAAATCTAAACAACCAAAATAGAAATAAATCAAAACTAAATCCACAACAGTCCTTCGGTGACCATGAATTCAGTCAAATCGCTGACCTTCTTCAGCCCGGTGGACACAGCGGCTTCCTGCAGGCCGGGTCTGGTGAGCCATTGTCGCTTTTCGGTCGGCGTCTGTTGTGTAACATCCCTGTCCTTTAAGCGCATGCTATAAACCACATAGGTCTGGTGAATGTGGGAGAAGATGTGCACCACCTGCAGGCGGACAGTGAGGAGAGGACAGTGAGCTGCACAAAAAGCTCCCGTTGAACAGAGAGCTGTATAAAACCTTGGTGGTTAAGATCAAGCTTACCTCTCCTACATACTGGAGAAGATGTTCGTTTAAACAGCTCCTCAGTACTCTGCTGACTTCTTCACACAGCGCCCTCTTCTGTTTCACTTCATTGTCCTCCTGCAGCAGAAGACTTGGAAACTCCCATAGACCTGCTAGTAAACCTGCAAACACAAACGCCACTGGTTAATGTTGCATTCATCCACTAATCAGGGTGATTTTAGGGCCTGCAGACGACACAGGGCGGTAAAATCTGGGCGCCAGATCTAAGTGTCACTCTCTGCATTCAACTGTTTGTTAAAGTAAAAATCATGCAGCACCGACCTTTGTTCGGTCTTTGCACAAGCAGGTACTCCTCACCACCTGCTTCTCCTGGCCTCGTCACAACGCAGGTCAGTGTCCGCTCCGCCCGAGGAGCTTTCTTGGGCGGCTTTCTGGGGAAGTTCTGAACACCCAGCTGATCGTCCCACGGCTCAGAAGGACACAAGGAACAAGTGCCACTGTTCACTGAGGAGAAGAGTAAAGGGAAATTTGGTTCATTATGATGATTAAACTCGTGTCCAGGAGGTCAGATGGATGGCAGAGGAGACTCACTGCAGTCCTCAATATCAGGCATGTCCAGCTTTCCTAAAAGCTCCTTAGCACTTTGCTCCTGTTTGACATGAACCTACACAAACACACATCATATAAACTGTTAGTACTTTACAGAATTTCAGCCTGAGCCCATCGGAAACTGTGAGCCAACCCTGTGATATGAGCGGCAGTGAGACTGGACGGGACACTGGCTGCACAGCGGGCCTTTGGGGGTGCAGACTCGCGCTCCAAGCTCCATCATGGCCTGGTTGAAGTCTCCAGATCTCTCTGGATCCACCAACAAATTGGCAAGACGCCTGAGGAAACCAGGAGATGACACCGGGTTCTCCACGTAAGCAGTCTCTGATTATTTGAGCTGTGAATTTAAATCTCACCAAAGAGCCTCCGTTACTGCAGGACTCGAGCTATCGGCCCCAATGGCCCTGAGGCGACACAGAACCCGAATCACGTTCCCATCCACAGCGCCGGTTACCTGAGCGACACAGATCATACCAGGTATTGGTGGTTAATGATAAAGCTACTATCAAATAGAACTTATTCTAGTGACGGTTCTATAATTTCTGTGGTGGTTTACACTTGAAGGTGATAGTTTTCTATGTCAAACAAATATTGCTGAATATCAGGTGTAATTAGGTCAAATTAATATCTTTAAGTCTAAGATTAAAGATGGAATGGATGGAACTAGTTGGTGCAAATGAACAGCACTGACTGCTACAACACGGTTTAGATCAAATCAAAATGAAAGGAAAAGGTTTGAACGGTTCTTTTTATTTATTGCAATTTTGACTGATGAACCATTATTACAGCGACATTAACATCAACATATGTGTTTGGATTGGTTTACTCTAAAAAAGAATAGAAGGAGGCCAGCGTCACTAAAATAAAATATTTAGTTCTTCATACAACAACCTCCTTATAAACAGAGTTTTTTTAAACACTGCTTCATTTTGAAGTGCATTTGCTGCCCAGAAAGGAGACACATGAACAATAAAAGCAGAAAGGCTATTATACAAGCATTTAGGCTTATATTCCATGTCTTATGTGTGATCTTCTTTGGTAAACTGTTGAAATAAAAGGTCACGTGTCAGTGTGGCTTTAATAGCATTGACCCACAGGAACTCATGAAGCTTGAAGTGCAGATACTCCCTTTGTCCTGACCAACCTGGCCCAGAGCAATAGATCCAATCGCGGACGCCGTGTAGCGTCCCACACCAGGCAACTGTTTCAGCAAGTCGTCCACAGTCTGAGGCATCTGTCCCTTCAACTCCAAAACCACCTGAGGAAAAACAACAAATAAACCAAAATAATCACAATGCGATCGAGTTACTGGAAAAGGGTTCTGGGTACTTTTCCAAAGTAAATAGTGGGAAAGTAAATTCATTAGGAGAAGCATTCAAATATCTGATTGTGGACACACCTTCTGCGCTCCTTCATGCAGCCTTCTTCCACGTGAATAGTAGCCGAGGCCTGCCCACATCTGGTTAACCTCCTGTACCACAAGAAAATGAATGTATTAAACATAAAAAAAAAAAAAAATCACCAGCTCTGCACTACTGATTAAAATGACTACCTCTATTGTAGCAGCTGCGAGATCCTGCACTGTGGGCCACCTCTGGAGCGCAAAATATACAGCATTTATGTTGAACTTCCAAAAGTATTACAGATTAGTTTAAAATACCCACCTTCATCCATCTGTTATAATAGTCTTTCACTGTGGCAACTTGAGTCTGCTGCAGCATTATTTCTGAAACCCATACTGTAAAAATAAAGGCAAAGCAGAAAAAATAGAGTTCCACAATTATAGTAATTAAAGAAAGTGTAGAACACTGTTTTTTACGTTTTC